ACTTTAAAGTGTTTACAAAATGTACTTCTATAATATCAAGGTGACAACATGTTCTGCCATTACCATTTTCGTGCAGCTAAGTGCATGTGAAGGTAAATTCTCTGTGATATGAAAATATGAATGAATATATTTATAATTTATCTATGACATACTTCATGGTTATGTTACATTGTTTTCAGTTCCTGAACACAAACAAACTGGCAATATTCAATCTGTGAAAAGCAGCTCCAGTGGAGACACCAGCAGATCAGGTAGACAATTTTTTATTATTTCAGGTTTAATCTCCTTAGAGCCATGTTATCAATTTTTGTAAGATAGGCTCGAAAAAAATTTTGTGGGCTGGATTATTTTTTTAGATAAGCTTAATAAATAATGTTTTCACGTAAATGTACTGAATATGAATTATTACTAGCCATCAAGTATCCATGAAGGAAGAGCATTGTAATATCCTAGATAAAAATATATTTAAAGAGCAATGTTTATTTTGTAGTACTAGTGCCATCGTATATCAAAACTGCTCATTTTTTTTTCTATCGATAGATCCACAAAGAAAAGTTAAAGAAAATAGAAAAAAGTAAATCAGGTAAATTGAGAGTAAAACTGTTAATTTTGAATCCTCAACTCTATTCAAGTACATTTAACTGAATAATGCACAATTGCTAAGTATTTCTGTAAAATGCAATTACCATGTGCAATAATTAACTTTTTCTGTTTCAGGTTTTACCAGACCCAGCCCAGTGTATAACAAGTTGTTGTTGCAAAGGGACCTAACTGGGTTAATTATTGAGGCCTTACACCAGGTTGCAGAAGACGTAAACCTGAAAGTCAAAAATTCAGTTCATGGACATGCAATAACCACTATCGCAAACACATTGGTTTGCAACTTGCAGTCTAGTGACACTCCCTTGCCAAAGCTGTTAGCATGTTAACAATTACTGGAAAACTTTGTAGTGAATAACAATTTCACATAAAATAAAAATAAGTGCGACTCAACTCACCAGTCATTTTCAATCCATCAACTGTTTGTTTGCTAAGACACGTAGCATTTCTAGCATTCTGAGAAAATTCACCCTCTCGTGTTCTTGCAGACTGCTCCCAATCAATGAAATAGTTTAAAAAATCATTTTGAAGCCACTGTTGATAAATAGAAGAAATACAATGATTTATAGATTCATAAGAAAAGATACTCAAATTTCTGCATTCCTGTTCTTGATCATCTTCGCTAGCCATGGTCTAAGTTTATTCGGCCATGCCTCTAAACAAGCCTCATCAGGTACAGGAAATCGAAGCAGTTTTGTGTGGGAAGAATGTCATCATAGCGACAAAAACAGGAAGTGGAATTTTGTTTTATAATTTGGTACGTCCAAGCTGATTGGGCGCCTTGTTTGGAGGCGCGCCCAATCAGATCTCACTGCTTAAGATACGCAATTAGCCTATGCGATCCCACACGGTATCGTGTAGAGGCCTATATGTCGAAGACACAGGACCGTGCGATTCGGACGATGGTTCTTGATTGGCTTTCGGTTTAATGTGAGCATGGTTAACCGGAGTATTAGCCCACTGTTTCAGCAAATCATGTTGGCTGTAGCAATTGATTAACTGCAAATGTAGACATATAATTAGAGATTTGATCAATAAAACGCCATGAATAATGCTTGAAGGTGAATGGCAAGCAGAGGTAGAGAACAGGTCAGGAAAGGGGGGAGTCTGAAACAACAGCATCAACACTTGCAGTTGGCAATGATTTTTAAATACCCCATTCTATCTAATGGACTACATTGACTGAAGTAAGTTGTGAAACGTACCTCAAATCGAGGATCATTTGGGTCTTGATATGGTGCCAAGTTTGGTTTTCTTTTGCAATGGTGTTCATCTAGGTTTCTTACATTCAGACAGTCAAAAAAATTTCCATATGCCTGATAAATTTAACAGTTTCACCAGCATCTACAGCACCAGTCATTTCGATGGCATTGGCAACTGTTTCACTTAGTACCTGGAGGATGGATCACAGATTTAACGCAACATGTCACATTATCATTATTAAAAACCTTGTATTATTGAACTCAGCTTGCAATCACTGCTTTCCTTTCAATGTATTATTGTGATAATTATATATACAAATTAATGTTTTCATGTACAAACAGCGAGGGTGAAACTTTCCTGACTCAGCAATGCTTCACAATCCTATTCTACCTTTAATCAAGTCTGTTTCCTGGATTTAAATAGCAACCCCCATATCAATAAATGAGAAAATATTGCCCAAAACTAACCTGAGCAGCCAAGTTTACTCGCATGATTGAGAATGACGTCAATTCAATATGTTCAAAACCAATTTTATGCATAAGGTGGATATTTCTGTTCTGGTCAACTAGTACAGTTGGTGTCCAGTGGCGCCATAAAATGGGATTACCATTATTTTGCAAAGAATATATATACAACAACGTATACAAAATTCAAAACTTCCATTAATTTGCACTATTGAACCATAGTCCCTCTATAATAGAGTGACTATGATTCAACTTAAAGACCATTACATTTATTGATAAAACAATCTATAAATACTTTGTAAACATACCCATAAACTTCTGGATTTTCTGAGGGCTTCGGAGTTGGCAAAGCAATTTCTGGCAGTTTTGATTAGATGTGGGACATCGGAGAAGAAAAATATATTCCTCTCTTGTCGACTAAATGGATTAGGTGCCTTACATACAATCAGATCTCATGGTGCATTTGCAACACGGTGCATCCTGTAGAACTTCCTGTTCCAAGTTGCCCCATCACTCGTTGACGCAACAACTTTCAAGTCGCAAGTACACTCCAGGTAACGTATCACCTCCCACACAAGATTGAACATACTGTCGGCAGTACAGCCTATAGTGGGATAATAGGCAACACTTGCACGGTAACTAGTTGAGAGACCACGAACCATAAAAACAAGAACATGTGTTGCCAAATTTTGATGTAATGAAGAGTCTCCAAGGTGCACAAGTCGGGACAGTTCTTCATTTTTACTTCATCATGGAGTAAAACAACAAACTTTTGATGTTCTTTAAGTGTCTCGACTTTACTGTCAGTAATAACTTCTTCCAGAATATTTTGGTTGATTCCAGACTGGGGTTTGATATAATTGGTGTAATCTGATAGTGTTCTTCGGCTAGGCAACCTGACAAATCCAGAATTCCGAAGAGCTTCGTATGCTGCACCTGAAGAAAATTTTAATGAAAGGCACCACCGAATCATGGTAGGATGCCATCTCATCTGGCGAGAGTCTGTGCACCTCAAATTTTTCACTTGCTCCTCAAAGAACAAGCGTTGGAAACTTCCTTCAGAAAAGGAGTCTGCAACTTTTTTTGATTCATCAACCATGATGGATTTCAAGTCATTGTCGAGTGGTTGATCAATGTCTAAACCTTCTTGGTCGATGAGCCGTTTAACAAGACGATCATAGCTTTTTTTAAACTTATATTTGTCTTTGGAAATACTAGCGGCTCTCTCTTTCAACTGTTCAGTTGTTAAAAATCTGAAGTTGGTTGTACTACTTGGGTGTGTTTTGTTTTCATCTTTCTGGTTGTTTTTTTCTATACCACATTGTTCTTAAACTACTCCTATGGCCCATGCAACTTGTACATCTGTTTTTTGGAGTCAGAATGTCACAGTTTGTGCTTCGAATAGTTGCAGAATATGAACTCCCTTTCAAAGACGTGCCATTGAAATTGCCTTCAATGTATGAAGAGGTATTCACTTCACCTTTGAATGAGAGGCATTTCACATCTTCTCCTTACCACGTACCATCTCGATGAAATGTGGGTCTTGATTACCACAACACACATTACTGTTGTCTACTGAATTGACTAACAAGTTTAAGATGCCAATGTCACTGATAGTTTGAGGAACTTGAACAAATTCAGCCTTCACACCTTTATCATGGACGGCCACACTCCACTTAAGATTGTCATGAATTGTCACAGATCTTGTAATCTTGTATTCGGTCTCATGAATGTTTTCCAGTTTAGATATTCGCACACTAGTAGGCCCAGATAATACAGTCCGGCGAACAGGTAAATTCAGAAATTGCTGACAATTACGTTGAACATAACTAAATGAAAACTCATTCGACTCAGGGCACTTCTGGGGAAACAAAACAAAATGTAAAATGTGTATTAGTATACAAATGTTTTAAAAAAACTAATATTTATGATGTAAAAGAATGGAGAAATATGTGTAAAAAATTAATTTTTGAATCAACAAATTTGTTACTTATAAAAAAAATATTTTCAATATTTAACAGCAAAGCTGTTTGTTTTAACTATAGTATAGCCACTTGTAATACTTGCACATGAATTACATTATAACTACTATAAAATCTCACAAAAATTTCCACATTTAATTCTTACCTGTTGCATTGTAGCATCACTAGCAATGGTAACATGTGATTGTGAAAAGTCATTACATTCACTAGAGCCTTTTTTTAAATCGCTTGTAGTATCTCTTGGGCCTCCAAAAACTGTTCTTCTTACGAGGCATGGTTAAGAGTTTATATGGCTTCAACAGCTGCACGTTCTCGTCTGACAATATCAAAATAAAATAAAAATGTAAACAAAGATATTTCATCGAATAAAACGAAACAGCAGATACCCAAATATATCTTAACCCCACAACTCATTCGTTTTTATTCATAACAACCAGTATTGGGTATGCTTATCTACACCGGATTTGTATTATTCTCAAAAACGGAACCGAAACGAGAAACTCTCGTTGATGTATTTACTACGAACTACGAGTTTCGAAAAACACACACAGAAAATCTATTTTTCGGGACACAAAAAATTGTTGGCAGCACAAAACATCTTTTACCGTGAATGGCACCTTCAACAGCACATACAATAGTGAATTTAGTGATCATAACGTAAGAATATCTGATTTAGAAAAACACGACCCATTATCGCAACAATCGACTATTCTCGGGATGTTTGCTCGTACGTGAATAACCAAGATCACACAGTTTTCAAGAATTCGACAACAAATAATACGATATAAACACTCCCACTCGAAGCAAATACACTTCCACCCACCAAAACGATGCGAGTTGAAGATTTTGCTAGCATATCAAGCGAGAAAAGGGAACCGAAAAACTACCGACATGTTTTGAGCGATGAACTTTTTGACAAAATGGAGGTCAGAAAATCGAGGTCAAATTTTCAAGATCAAAAAAACTACGAAATATTCGAAATGAAAGAATGGATAATAACTCACCTGTTAATTAATGGTATTTCGCTTCGGTAATAACAAAAAGTTGTAAAATATATGAAATTTTACAGCTAAGAGCAAGGAATAAAATACGGAGCACTCGATCATACATTGTCCAAAATGGAAAGCGACGCTATACTGTTACGTGACTATGCGACGCCAACAACCGTTACACGCACTCACTGAATGTTTATTGCTAATCCCCCCTAAGACAATAGGCGTTTCGAGACCGGTGATAGAGGGACTGTGATTAAAACAATGATCGTATTTTAATGAATGTCAATAATAGAATAATAGGATCAAAGCTCGTCGCAAGAGTTGCTTGGTATATATTAACTTCCTATTTTTTTTCAAATATATTTAGTAAAATAACTTACTGGTGATTAACACCTAACTATAGATATCACTGTAAAAGCTGTAGTCCGAACGCTCTTAGTCTCGATTCTAGATAGACAAGGCACTGGTTATAGAAAACATTGCGGGAAACCCAGTTACCATACAAAATTGCTAGAACGCAATTGCAAATCTTGAAGAAGACTATTTAGCGGTGACATTGATAATAAACTGATGCCAGAAATTTGATGTACATAATTAATTGACTGTCAACACTCTAGGCGCCTACCTAAATGCCTTCTGATTTCTCTGTTAATTTAATTTCAGCATTCGGTGATTGTTAACATATTCCTAACCGGTGGCAAACCCTGACCCAGTGACTAACAATATTCACCCGCAGTCAAATTAATTGTAACACGGATACGACCGCCAATGTTATGTCTTATGTCTAATTGGCGTAATATTGTTCGAGATATTTCTACCCGGAATAAAATGTCATGAATGAACTTGTCAATTTTATTTTCAGTACACGGCAACGGCACTGGTCTCCAGTTTTTGTCTTTTTTATAACAAGAGTAAACACGATTCTACGTAACGTAATTGGCAAGCAACATTGATTAATTGAAAGAGTGATGACATTGTAATCGTGACCGAGGGTGTGACAAAAGGCTTTACAAATTTACTGTATTTTCATTTAAATGCGTAACCTTTTTGCTACAAAGACATAGATGATCGGACTTTTAATCATATCCAGACTTTCATTGCCAATTTGAGGTAAATCGTCTAATAACCCAAAACGTGCTTGCTCGGAAATCGCAGTTGAGGTATATATATTTAAATAATAACCAATGTGTGTGAGGGTAATATCACGATTTGTTTCCTGCTCAAGGGATTGTGATCATGACTATAATATTGGTATCACTGTACATACATTGTTTACTGACAAAGTTTGGTTTATCTGCTGCCAAAAGATATATATTCGACGTTTCTCTCTGCTTCAAGAAATCATTACAGCTCAACACGCTTAAAAAACGTTTAAGCCTTCTCGATTATTAAAATATATATTACCTAGACTAGAAATAAACATAAGCAGCAGAAACTTGTCGCTTTTTATGCAAAATTGGCTTCATAATTCTTTAATTGAGATTCCGCCAGTGATTCGCAACCGCTTTATAAATTTAACCATAACTTAAAAAAAACAATACATCACCTTTATTGCATATTGTATTATTTAATAAAAATCTTCATTATTTTTTGTTTAAAATAGGTTCAAACCCTGAAGAATCACTCATTTCAGAAAGATGCGATTAGGTACTTATGGGTTGAGATAAGTGCCAAAATGAAACACTGTACACAGTCATTAAGTTGGCATTTTCATCGTCTTTGCATTAGGTTGCCATTGTCCTGACAGATTTATATTGGCTTTAAAGTAGGTTGGCATTGTCTTGTCATTTTCATATTGTATTTGCATTATTTTGGCATTTTATTGACATTTTTATATTGTCTTACATTAAGTTGTCATTGTTTTGACAGTTTTATATTGTCTTTACATTAGATTGGCATTGTCTTGACAGTTTTATATTGCCTTTGCATTAGGTTGGAATTGTCTTGTCATTTTTATATTGTTTTTACATTCAGTTGTCATTGTTTTGACCGTTTTATATTGTCTTTAGATTAGATTGGCATTGTCTTGAGAGTTTTATATTGTCTTTGCATTAGCTTGGATTTGTTTTGTCATTTTTATATTGTCTTTGCATTAGCTTGGCATTTCTTGACATTTTATTTTGTCTTTGCATTAGGTTGGCATTGTCTTGACATTTCTGTTTTGTCTTTGCATTACGTTGGCTTTGTCTTGTCATTTTTATAATGTCTTTGCATTAGCTTGGCATTGTCTTGACATTTCTATATTGTTTTTACATTAAGTTGTCATTGTTTTTTTGATCGTT